CGGGAATAGAATCGAGAGCCAGTCCTTGTCCTTCGTGCCTTGAAGGGATGTCCGGATTTCCCGTGATGCGTTCTCAAGGTGACTCCCATAGCCCTCTTTCCTTTTCCCTTCAGCTTTTCCCTGACGACAGGCGACTTAAACCCGACGATTTTCAAAATGTTCAGGAAGGCCTAATCAAACCGTCAAAGATCGTTCCCAAGCAGCATGTTCACGTAAACACGATATCAATTTTTTGCAAACAATGTAAATTTCTTGCGATTGCCATGAAAATGACATCACGTTTACATAAAATGTACGTTCCTAGATTTACATCACCAAAGTATACGTGTATTTTACATCAACTACACGTCACTCCATCTGACGTGAAGTACACGACATCAAGTTTATGAAAGATTAACACCACACCATCCATATGAAACTTTAACTGACCATCCTGCAGTTGCAGTACCAAGATTCCTCACTAGATGGAACCCCTTTTCCCTGCATCCTACAATTACTATTAAATACTGGTTTTCCTGATATAGTATCAGGTTTTCTTAACATCATTCTACTTTTTATTATGCAATCAATGAATATATATATGGAAAACTTGACATTATTACATATTTTAAATAATATATGACTCAGGGAATCATTAAATGCTGAGGTTTTTGTGAGCTTTTTATTACAGCAGTGCACGGGATTATGGAAGAGTAGAATGCCAGCCACACAAGTGGCATCTTCTCTATCCTAAAAGGAAGAGAGCTCCTTTGAACAACTACTCCTTCTCCCGCGGTTCCGGTACGGGAGGAGGAAGCAGTAGGTCACTTTGGTTCTCTTGAGTGCTGGTGTGGATGAGTACTCGTGCACTCGTCCAACCGCCCTAGAGTTCTGAAGAACGTTAAGGAATAGAAGGTTCAGTATATCAATTCTCTTTAATGGTACTGATTGATTCTTTAAATACGCATGAATGCCAGGGGAAAATTAGCGTAAATCTGACGTAAAATGAATGTAAACGTGCTGTTTGGAATGCGAACGGGAATGTCAATTTTACGTAAAATTTACGTTAATTTCATATCACCGTTTACGTATCACAGAGGTGACATTTCTGCAAACATGTTAACATATTCTTGGGAATGGTTTGTGTAAAAAGGATATTAAATGTACAAAACATTTACATTCATTTTACGTAAACTTAACATAAACGTGCTGTTTGGGTTGGAATCAGTCGGCAGTTTGTTTATCGAGCTATCAAACGTTACAATGATACTCAGTGAGTACGAGACCGCCCTAGATCCTGACGTCCACCCACTGCCAGAACACCACGAGTCACCGAAGGAGTTAGCAACCGGATTCAGCGAAATCCTCTAGGCAAGCAGAAAGTGATGGCCAGGGAAATGGCCATCTCGACTAGAGGCACATATCGGTTGATTAAATCAGACCTAAGGATGGGTGCTTACTGAAGAAGCACCCGACACATGCTGACTCCATCACAGCTAGAAATCAGGAGGTCGCGATCGAAAGTGTTGCTGCAGAGGTACGCGCAAAACAGACACCAGAAAATCCTCTTCACTGATGAGAAAATCTTCACTGTTGAAGAAAAATTCAACTGGCCAAATGGCCAAGTGTATGCCCACAACTCTTGGGAAGCTGCAGAAGTCATCCATAAGGTGAAGAGAGGTCACCATACTGCTTCTGTCATGGTTTGGTGGGGGTTGAGTTATGAGGGTGTCACCAAGCTGCATTTTGCAAGCAAGAAGTGAAGACATCAGCCAACGTGTACCAGGAATAAGTCTTAGAGAACTCAGTGAAGCCTCTCAGCTAAACAATGTTCAATAGGGGCAAGTGGATCTTCCAGCAAGACTCCGAACCTGCTAACAAGGTTAGGACAACGCAGGAGTGGCTAGTCAACAATGTCCCCGAGTCCATCAAGGCCTCCGATTGGCCATCTGGGAACCCACTTGACAACAAACTGTGGGCAGAGTTGGAGCTGATGGCCAACCACAGAAGACATCCAAATATTGAAAGTCTCAAGCGTGCCATTAAGAAATCAGCAGCCAATATCTAATGGAATTGGTGCGTACTGCGATGGATGAGTGGTCTGCTCGTTTAAAGTCATGTGTGAAGGCCAGGGGTGGACATTTTGAATAATGTTTCTGTAATATGTTAATAAGGTAGAGACATAAAGGCTGTTAGCAAATACAGCGTATGTTTCATATGAAAAGAGTTATTACAAAAAAACCTTGTAACAGTATTTATGGCAGGACTAGGTATATTAGATAGACGATCGTGAGTAGCTGACAGACTGACATAAGTAGCTATTCGCATGCTGACTTCAGGAAAATTCTACTTTGGTGATGCATGCCATAGGGGCACACCTTTCGGGGAACATATTTTCAAATAGTTATATTTGCTTCAATCAAACGGAGACACATGGAAAGCTGAAATTTGGCAAGAACGTGCCTGTTGACGCACAGAGCTCAAATGTCAAACATCAAATTTTACAAAATATGTTTGGGGTTCATATTTCTTAGGGGCATAACGTTTTCAAATAATTTTTCATATCCTACCGAATCGGGCAGACATAGAAAAGTAGCTGGCTCACGCAGAACGGACGTGAAGTTGATTTAAGGAAAATTTCAACTTTTTTATGCGTCTCCTCATAGCACAGCTTTTGGGTGGTTCGCTTTTCCAAATACATTTTTTTCCGAGAACAAAAAGAGGAAACGTATGAGGCTGAAACTGGGTTCCATGGAGTTCCCTGAGTCTACATTTCAAAAGGAAAAAAAAAATTGTTAAAACCCATTAGGGCACTTTATTTTAAGTCCCATTTTTCTGAATTCATTTGATCCAAAGAAACAGAGACAGAAAATTTAAACTTCTCTCAGATGTACCTGTTCTACCTGATGTACCTGGCTGAGTACAGGAAAAATCCTACTTTTTAAATATGTCACCTTATCGTAGATTAATTCAGGGAAGTATTTCAAAATGTATTCTCCACCCTTACAAAAAGGGACACAAAAAAGATTTCAACTTATGCACACATAGAATCATAGAAGTAATGATTTTGATAAAAATCAAGACTTTCGACCCCATATGTCACGGATTTCAATGGGGACGTACTTTACGTGTTTCCCATTTCGTAAAAAATGAATGAATGAATGACCATCCAATGTAATGGAGCGCCGAAGGCGCGACCATAGCGAGTTGTATTACCCGAAGGACAAACAAACTCTAGTATATAATAAAATCCGACGTTCTCCGTTAGTCTCTCTCTCTATCCGCCGGATTCCCCCTGGGGTTGACTTTTTCAAATTCGATTCGATTGGCCCGATTCGAATTCGATTCGTGATTCTACCCGATCCCACCCGCGGGTAGTGTCGGGCCGATCGGGCCAACCCGCAGCTTCCTTAGGCCTCTAAGCTTCAAAATTCAGAGTTTCTGGATTTCTTCTTTTTCAAGGCTGCTTTACTTCCAGCTTTCCCATATCACATTGGTTCTGGCCTGTTCATTGCTCTCATAGGTCACAACGATCCGCCAGCAGCTGTAAGCAACTAACGGAAAATATCCTCTAAGAGCGTATTCGCCTGCACCAAACAAGAAACGTGATAGCCAAACAAGCTACCAGCCCGATCCGCGGTTCGGATCAATTCAATGGAGTTGATCCTCATATTGTGCATGGCTCAAAATCATCACGTATCCACTGCATGGGTGTTCAAGATTTCAACGATGTGTTTCACTTGAATGCTACGAGGCGGAACTCGCTGAGAAATTGAATTCATCCAGTTGAGGGTTCCTTGATGATGCCGGGCAGCTCCTATTATTATTCCACTAGCTGGTACCAGTGAAACATTCACGTATTCGTATTTGAGGTTAATGGATTTCTGCTGAAAAAATTTAAATGAAAAACACAGCTGGAATTTTCAACGACCATATTTCGAATCAATAATATTGCGTGCAACCCGCCATTCCCCCTCTCCCCCTTAAATCAATCCCAGAAATTATATATATCTATATATATACCTATATATATATATATATATATATATACCTATATATCACAATACAGGTTTGGTTCCATAACATTTAGATGAGACAAATCGTCCGAATTATGAACTTTCCTGCATAGCATGAAGGAGGGAAGATACTTCCCATACTCATGGATTTTTTTCCATGGAGAAAATGGATGGAGAAGGATTTTTTGGAAAAAAAAGGTACATCGTTCCGTCAGCGCTCGAGGCGATAACGTTATTAAATGACGTCACCCTCGGGCAGGCAGATGTCAGCGGAACGTAGTGAACCATGAGAACATGACAGGCCAACATGAACGTGACGTTATGGGAAAGCTGGATCCGTCAGCAGAGCCGCTTAGAAATAGGACGAACCGAGACACCCAAGTTCTGAACTCAGTGGCCGGCCTAAGAAGAAGGTTGTGGGTTGATGCGTTCGGCCCGACATGACCCGCGGAGGGGGAAGGGGGATCCGTAAATCTCGGTTTGGCGATGGAGCTTTGGGTCCGGTAGGACCACGATCCGAATCGGACCGATCGGATCGGTTTCGGAAAAGTTCACCCGCGCAAGCCTCAGGCGGACAGACACAGGAAGACCTAACCCGTGAAATATTCACTTACTGTGTCCTGCACCTCTGTTCCGTGAGGTCGTTTTTCTTCTGAAGAGAACAGACGTGGCTGCTTGTTCTACTAGAAAAGGAATCACTTTGGAACATATATTGTTCATCAACTAAAATTGCACCGCATTCCAAAAGTTGCCTCGTGGGAGACTAACTTGGGAAATAATTTTTTATACATCTGAAGTGGAAGTGAAAATCACAAGACTTTGACCGCATGCATTTTCAGATAGGTAAGGGTTAATGTAACTAGTTCCTGTTTTCTCAGGGAATGAATGGTTTTCGGACCCGATTTTTCATTCCGAGCCAAATCATGTCATTCTCACGATTTAAAAAAAAAGTAATATATGAAACATTAAAAATAACCGCTTCAAATGGCTTTATTTCAGGCATATATGGGAGCTGAAGAATGTATACCATTTCCTGAGGCGACTAAAGGTTATCTCAAGGAGCACTATCCTGAGGCAGGAGAAGCCCATTATTCTCTACCCTCGGGATATATTCTCAAGGACAATGTTTTCCAGGAGCTTCTAGACCAAGGAATTCAGGCGCTCAAGACACCTGATGGAAAAGACGTGGAGCTTCCACCCGATTATGCTGCTATTGCTGTAGTTTTCCATCGTGTAAAGAACATATGTGGCTCTGCCCCATCATTAATGGTTGCAGATTGGGAATTCCCCAAAACTTTCGATGAGGCCTTTTCTCATCAGCAAAAGCGAAATGTGAAAATGGAACAGACTATTCTTGCTATGTGTTCTGGTGTTCATCATGATATTTACTTCTCGTACCCCAGCGGAGACAATGTTTACAACATATTCTTCCAGATCGATGAAACTTGTTTGGAGAAGGACTCAACGGATGTGTGCGAAAGAATTATGGATGCAATAGACAGGTGTGAAAGCGACCTTAGCCTGTTCAAAACGATATGCGGGCCTTTACTTGGATGTAACGCAATCGTTATTGGTTTTCCATCTTTTCCTTTCATCAAGAGAAAGACCCTGCAAGAATTTTTAGGATGTGATTCGTGTCCATGGAATATTTTAACAAGCGATGATCTTTATCATCCAGACGATCTTCGAAGGTTCCTCCATAAAAATGGCATAAATCATCTGCCATCAGAAGAGAGCATTCGTGAGGCTAAAGAACTATATTTAAATATTTTTTCGCTCTACATCTGTGCTTCAGCATCAGTTAATGTATCCCGTACCCATATGGATCTCATCAAGAGGAGCAACGAACAAATGAAGGAAACTTTGTCCATTTTAACACCAGAACAGAAGGCACTTGTGGATGAGGATGAGCGACTCTCGAGACTTCAACTCATAGCAGGAGGATCTGGGACTGGGAAAACGCTCGTTCTCAAAGAGAGAGCAAAGCGACTGGCAAGCCAGAAAGTTGCAAAAGTCATACTGGTGAACATTGCCGGAGGACTTCTCACAGAAGAATTCCATCGAGAATTTCAAGGTCATTTATTCATTGTTTCATCGTTAACTATACTAGTTACACCTCGAAAACGCAATCAATGTCTTGCTGCTTGTTTTTGTTTTTTGGATACCACTACTTCGGAATAGAATAGGTTTCCCAGACGATATTCGGCAAAAAAAAAATATTTTAAATCGGCCTTGGTCGTTCCGGTTTTGGCTAGTGTCCTTTCCACCACACCCTATTCCAATTCAACTCGAGTGAAAATGCTTTCGATATCGACATTGTACGTTTCAATTTCAACATTACCAGAGGATCTCCTTTTTCCGTAACTGAACACAGTATGCGCAAAATACATGAAATTAGCGAAGATTTCCATATTAAAAGTTGATTTCTATGAATAGAGCAATTGAAGTATAGTCCATTCACCGTCTGCGTGCGTAGTTATCTCTGCAAATGGATGTACCGAAGCTGCATGTGTATATAAACAAGCTACTAATTTGTTGCAAACGATGTCAATTTCTTGCGATTGTCATGCAAATGGTATCACGTTCATATGAAATTTACATTCCTCTATTTACATCGCCTAAGGAGATATGCATTTCATATAAACTACAAATGGTTTCACTTGATATAAAGCACATAACATTAAGTTAATGCAACATCAACATCACAACATCCAGCTGACTCTTGAGTGTCTCTCGTGCCAAGAACCCTCACTAGCTGGAACCCACGTTTCCAGATGTTTGGAAATAAGTACCTGCCTTCATGAAATAGTATAAATTCTTTCCACCCTTTCCTTTTTAATTGTGCAATTCATATTCTTGTATTAGGAAAAAATTGAACTATGATATTATTATCTCAATATTTGACTTGGGGAACTATTACATGATGAAGTATCGGAATGAAGGAATGTACTAGAATAAGGAAAGCTGAAATGTAGGTCTTCTCAACTTTCAAACCTTTAATATTTTATGCAGAGTAGTACCTTTAAGTCCTCCTCATGCTCTTTGAGCCCAGGCAGCATGTTTACGTCAGTATTACATACATTTGATGTCAATTTTTTGTCTATTTTATAGCTCTTTTAAAATTTACGAGAATTTTACATGAAATTGACAGTCGTTTGCATCCCAAGATGCTTGCTTATTTCAATATTATGTAAAATGTGTGCGAATTTGTTGTCAAGGTTCATGCTAATTTTTATTGTAAGTTTTTTTAAGAAAAAATTTGGATACTCGGAAGAGCACAAAGTACTCCTCTTTAAAAGTACCCAAGAGTACCAGCTCCACCATTCTTACGTACCTACAGGGTGTTCCATAAGTCAGGACCCATAGGGATTTCTAGGGAGCATTTTCCACCTTAAAGCACGCATTGTGGAGGCATGTCAAGAAATTTCTGCGACTGTGATTCAGAAAGTGCGGTTGCAGTGGAGATTGCGTCTTCAACTATGTGTGCGACACAACGGCGGACACTTTGAGCAGATTATGTAATAAATTTTTGGACTACTTTGTAATTTTATTAAATTTTCCCTATGGGTCCTGACTTACGGGGCACCCTGTAGTTTGGAAAGCATGTAATCACCTGACAGACAAAACAAAAGTCATTGACAGCCGCTTGCTGGTTGGTGACACCCGATTAGGTGGTCAGGCGTGGAAGGCGTAATGGGTACTCAGGGTTGCTGGATGCAAGTTTAAGTTAGTCTTCTTTCTGTCTTTACTGCGCGTGCGTGCGTCAGTTATGGCCGACCCATCGCCACACTTTCAACTACCGAGCAACAGACAATTAAATTGACGAAAACCCTGATCCGATAATTGTGAAAATCTGCAATTTTGACAAGTCAGTAAGGGAAGAGGAAGTGAACAATGACGCCTTCCGTATAGAGGAAATCTTCCGCGAAGTCTGTTAGCACGTTTACAGCCAGTGAATGTGTCAAGGCAAAGCTTCTGCTTCATGGTCGCTTCGCAGGTTCCTCTTTTTTCGTATTATTCTATATTTGGTCTAATATTTTCATGAGATGAGGATTTGAACATTGAAGAAGGATTCATTATTTATTCTCCATTCTCTAACAACCCTAGTCTGGCGCTGATCCCTTCTCACATCTTGTTGACATATCTGTATCGATCGTGGAGTTAATTAGGCAGCTTGACCGAGCGCGGGATATCGTAAGTTGTTGCCGCTTACACACGCAAACAATGAATGAAATATAGACATCACAGGCTCTGGTCAATATTGCCGTCAACTTAAAGAATTTTCAGCTCTGATGAGGAGCTGGAAGGAACACTGCTCAAGCAGCATGTTTATGTCAGTATTACGTAAAATTAATATATACCTTGATGCTAACTCCCCCCTACCATTCATGCGAATTTTCATAAGCAAATTACTACTTTTGAATGGAATTAATATCACCATACTTCTATTCCTTTCCATACCTTGGAACTCTAGGGAACTCGGACAAGTACTCAAATACTCTTCTTCACTACTACTAAAGAGTACTACTTTAGTACTCTTGTACTACTTTAGTACTACTAGTACTAAAGAGTACCAATATAACCTAATGCTCCCTCCTTCCGCGCCCAACGCAGAGCCCTGGGAGTAGGTGTAGCAATTCAGAGGGACTCTCTTCCAGAGAGGATAGAGAAGATATGGTATTCCTGGATTATACTCTTGGGTATTCTACTCTTACATGTTCTCGCGCACTGCTGTCATCGCAAACTTAACTTCAACATTTAATGATTCCAAGAGTCATATATTCCAATTAAAAAAAAGTTAATAATTCTATGCTTTCCACAAAGGGGAAGGTGGGGCAACATGGGGTGAGTGGCAAAACGGGGTAATTCAGATTTTAACCAAACCATACCTGATATCTAAAATATATTTACCCTATTATAATCGCCCACCACGGGTGCAAGTTTTCAGCCACGGTGGCGCTCTGTAAAGTAGTTTGTGTATTTGGTACACATTTTAATTCGATATGCTAAGAATGCTCCCACAAAAATTCGAAGTTCTAGTATAACGGTACACCTGAACGCTATGGCATATAGTAGTATGCTATGCTTGCACATTCAGTTCTTGTAAGGTATTCAAAAAATACTGATGTAGATTATTGAGTAGCGAACAAACATCAATTTCAGAAAAGGTCAAAGGAGTCTCTGGAAATGCAAAAAGAAGAATATGGAGGCAATTCAATGAAATATTAGCATGCTTGAATGTAGCTCAAATTATTTGAAGACGTACGCGAAATAGACACGGATAATGCAAGATTCTCTCCATTCTCTTCTGCCCCAACCCCATGTGATTTTTATATTTTCCCAAGAATGGAGGAGATAATGAATGGACGAATATTTGCAAGTGGCGATGGGGTCAAAGATGTCGTGACAGAAGCGAAATACGCTTTCGAAAAATTGGATTCTCGGTGGCATGTGAGAAGTTGTACGTACGCTGGCAAAAAATGTGTAGCAGCAAAAGGGTTAGAACTTTAAAGGAAATATTGTGATAACATACGCAATATGCACCAGTCTTGCAGTAAAACATTCTTACGCAAACATTTTGAAGCAACCATGCACAATTGGCTTTGTATATTACGTTTGCCTGCAGATATGTGGAAATTTTAGCCAGGGTCGAAAATGGTTCCATAACACATAAATGTGGTGACTGCGGTATTTTCCAATAGGTGAGGAGTGGATCAAGGTAGTCGATGGAAGAGCACAAGGCCTTGAGAGTGATATTGAAGCGCTGAAGAGATTCGTGAAAGAGGTGGGACATGATAAACACATTCTCGTCGATGAAGTACCTATTACACTAGGTTTCCAGGAGATTCTCACCGCAGAAGCCCTATCCGCCCACTGGGGGTGGATATTAGGCATGAGAAATCATGTCCGGTCTTTCAGTCTCGCCTTCCGGCCAAACGACCAGTCATACTCGCGGGATTTCTCATTGGAAGGTGTCAAGCCAGGAGGTTGCCAAATTCAAGTCCTAGATCGAGTGAAGAGAAATAGTAATAACATAGCTAAGTTGTTTATAGCATTAGGAGACTATTCCCGTAGGGTGTTTGTATCTTCCGAGAAGACACTTTCAATGGACATTGGAGAATCAGAGGGACAATGGCTTCCTAGCTTGAGGACGATTCCCTCTTGTCAAGCTTTTCACCGTGAATGCAAGCGCAAAACATACTGCTATGCCATTAGGGCCTCATACGCCATCAAATACATCTACGAGGAATGCTTGAAGTCCTTAATTGAAATGCCGCTTTTTGTTGTGGTTGATGATAAGAAAAGAAAGAAAGTTCTCATAAATTTCCTCGCTTCCCCGCGCCACTCGTTTCCTCTCCTATTTCTGGATAAGAAAGGGAAATTCCGGGGAAATGTCTCCCAGGAGAGCTTCTACTCACTCGTCATCGTAACCGAGGAAGAAATGATGGGGTGCCATTTGAAGAATGTCATGGTTATATTGGATTCCCCCGAGTCACAATGGAAAAACTACGCCCGACTAATCGCAGCTCCTGTTGATAACAAGATCGTTGTTATCGAGGAAGAAGATTTGAACATCGGGAAGTTTTCTCGTTTCATGGATGGTAAGTGGAAGGTTAGGAATGTGAGCATTAATGAAGATATTAATGAAATGCTAGAGAAAGGAAATGCGAACATCGGTCACAAGATTGACAGTGATCCCGAGCACCGCTTTCCTATTAAATCCTACCCTCGAATGGTGATGAATGACAGTGGAAATGAAGAGAATGTGGATGACGTGGAGAATATGCTTGAGTCTTGGCTCACTGGGATATTTGGATATCCAGGCTCAGGGAAATCCAGGAGAGTTGATATACTAATTCGGATCGTATCGAAACGTCAGGGTCGAGTCCTGCTGCTCCTTTGCGGAAGTGCATTGTCTCGGGAACTATATCGACAGCGCTGGATCAACGTAACGAATGTGGACGTTGTTAATTACGATTCAGATAAAATAGCGTCCCTAAAGACCATTATCGACTGCCGAACAGTTAAACAAGCGAAGAAGAAAGCTGAAATGTCAGATCGCTTGTTTGTGATCGTTGAAGACTGTCCAGTGAATAGACATTTAGAGAATGAGCTCGAAGATGTAGTAAAGCGTCTAAAAGAAGAGATGGTGAGTCTCATCATTACTTTCAAACCTCATATGAAAGGTTCGTCAAGATTCTCGGTGGATAGGATAATGAATGTTTTCAAAGGGAACTCAGATTGTTCCTTAGTTGTCCTCCAGTCTCAAAGGATCAACATGCAATTATTGCGACACATTCAACGAAATGAGACTGTCACCGCATTGAAGTTAGGATCAAAGAGTCTACCGACGTCCTCAATGCCTGCTGCCATCGTTCTTGGACCACCAGTTCAATACATGAATTGCGAATATATGTGCGAGAGACTTCATGGGGGATATATCTGCAAAAAAAGTGTACTATGTGTTCAAATTAGCAAGAAATTAGCCTCGGCCCTCTCCTTCTGCCTCAAATTGGCGTTAGAGGCAAATAAAGCGGGTGATATTCATATCCTGGTCTCAGATGAAGCCCTTCTAAACTCATTTAAAAAGGGCCTACTCTGCCATGATCCTAACATTACCATCTCCCACCCGAAGGATTTTCGTGGTTGTGAAACCTCTGTCATCATATCTGTGAATGTCGGGGACGAGTGGATGCTGGAAGTGATTTCTCGCTCAAGGACGCATCTAATCATTATCGACAACATCAGACAACATCAGGATCTTTGGCGAACCATGATGGAAGAAGGCCAAGTCGAGGCTTGGAATGTCACCATTCCACCTGAGGGTCCTTTCCTTGATGATGCCAGGAAGAACTTTCTAAAAGCAGATGAGCGCGGAAAGTTCCTCAGAGTGAGTATCCCTTCTTTTTTGCCATGCCATTTTTTCAAGTTAGCTTCCAATAGATATTGTTGCATCTAGTGAATGTATGAATGTTCCAGAAATTCAATTGTACGAGGGGCGTTGAAAAAGTTGTTCCCCTTACCTACAAATAATGTTCATAGACAGTGGAGATGTTCACCAGTCGTTTCTCCTTTTCTATATAACTCCCAGTCAGAGACACACATGTTACCCAACGATGCTTCGCTTTTATGATATCCTGTTTGTAGAATTCCCAATTTTTCCTCGATACCATGCCTCCTTCGTCGAAATGATGTCACAATCACTGGTAAAATGTTGTCCTCGTGAGGAAAATTTCAGTGTTGAAAGAGGAACTAGAGTTTACCAGCCCAGGTACAGATCTGGCATTCCACAGGCCCCTGTACCACTTGATTTATTATATATATTCACCGTATTCTAACCATCTAAACTTGAAAATAAATTATAGTTGCCATTAGTTCGGCGTAGGTCTATATGAAAAGGCCAGAAAGAAAGACATGTTCTCGATGGTCTGCGCGTCCCCATCGCGCTGAGACGGGAGGACGGTATGAAGTGTAGAATGCCAGATACGGCATTTCACGCGTGCGCCTGGCAACCTTGTCTACGCCTACGCGGCCGGGAGCAGCAGCTCTCCTCCATTGTCTATTGTGAAACTGTCAACCGCCCGGGTTGGAAGGGAAGTGGATGTTTTTGTGAAAGACGGGCACCCCGACCCAGGCGGAAAGCTGCGCGTGCGCATTAGGTCGTGTTGTTCGGTTGCTATGGTTACTGTTGACAGACGGAATGAAAAAGAAAAAAGGAAAAAAGTGACAAATCGACCGCAATATCTGTCATTTCCCCATGGTACCTATCAGGGGCGGATACAGAAATTTTTCATAGGGGGGGTGGGCGGTTCCCAAATTCCTACCAACTCCCTCCCTATATCTGCCCCTGGTACCTATGGGAATGCCAGATAAAAAGTATGATGGTGCCAAATATGGAGAATAAGGAGGATGCGGCAATATTTCCTAACCACAATCCCTTGAGGCTTGGCATGCTGCAACTGAACTGTGAGCGAGGGCGTTGCCGTGAATCAGGAGAACGCCTTTGCTCAGCAAACCACGTCTCGTTCTCTTGATTTTTGTGCGTAGCTGCTTCAGCAGGTTACCGTAATACTGTCCAGTGATGGTATGACCATTTTCAAGGTAATCAGTAAGGATGATACCGTTCTGATCCCAGAAGACAGACAGCTTCACCTTCCCTGCGGCTGACTGAACCCTGGTTTTCTTGGGTGGTGGGGACTCATAATGCTTCCATTGTTTAGATGCCTCTTTTGTTTCAGGGTCAATGTGATCCATGATTCATCCATTGTGACCAAACGACTGAGAAAATTATCCTCATCTGCATCGCACATGGTGAGAAGTTGTTGCGAACAATCGTTCCCATGTGTCTCCTGCAGAGGTGTCGACAGGCGAGGAATCCAACTGCCTAATACTTTCGTCATGTGTAATTCATTATGAATCATACACAGAACCTTCACTGATGATTAGCAATGTCATGAATAGTTACACGGCGGTTATGAACAATCAGATTCTGAACTTTCCTGATCAGCTCATCCATGTGCGACGTTGATGAACGACCACTTCTGGGCTAATCGTGCCACGACCACTCACACGACGACACACACGACGACACACGACCATACGAGGGGAGGCTGAAAAGTTCGCGACTTTTCCTAGAAGAAAACGCAAATTTGGTAAACTGAATCAATTTTATTCAACATAGTCACCCCTCAACTGTACACACTTGTTACAACGTTCCTCCAATT